AAATGAATCACTGAAATGGAAGCGTTGTGAATTATATTTTCTTTTGTAAAGTGAGAATGGGAACTAATTGAACTTAGGCAGTAAAAAAAGCGTTAATTGTATTTTTTTTTGTTATAATACGGGTGGGTGGGCGAAGCTATTTTTAACTTTTTCCTAGAGAAACGTTTTAAGCAAGCAATAGCCCCACCCACCCACCCCCTCTTCATTTCAGTGATTAGTCTTAATATTGTTCAGTCATTGACCAAAATCAATCTTATTTTAACAAATACTAGCTCCACCCACCTGCCCTCTATTTTTTAGGGGGTATGTAATTTCCCACAATCCCAAAACCTTATTTCCCAAAACCCAGTTTGATTACTGAACAGAAATTTGATTCAAGATTAGTTGTACAAATTCACCAACAATTTTTTTAAAGCATTAAATGTACATAACGAAGTTTTACTTAATAATTTTTTGAGATGACGTTATTACCTCCCTCGAAAAAAAAATTGTTATTTAATTTCGGTGGCTGCTCAACAGAGTTCAAAAAATTGAACCAGTTTGTTACGTAATCCCCAAAATAATCTACAAAAATTGATGGTAAATTAGAATACAGTGCTGGACTGAGCGTTATTTTACTTTTTGAGACTAAACTGGTAAATTCTGATCAGTATTCTACCTTTTTTAAAGTAACCGGTTCGTTAGTTTTGGAGATTATTTGCCTAACAAAATTTCCAACACATGCCATATCGTCGATCACGGACGAAAATAGAATGAAACGAGTAAGCTGCTTTTCCATAATTTAAGGCATGTGGAAAATTATTCCATCATATACTCATTCAGAATATTACATTTTTTGCTAAAATATTTAGTTTTATTTTCTTACTATTATAAAAATACAGCAATATCAATAACCACAACGTTGGCAGCTTCAGCATGAGACGTTGGATTTAATTAACAAGTCTAAGCTTTTTCGGTAAATTTCATTCTAGGCAAGGTATTTCTGGGATATTAATGTTTAAACTAAATTTTAAGTAACCTTTCATTCCATCGAATTAATGAGAGATATTTAATTACAAAATTAAAATAATGTCACTATTTGTTTAAGAGGTATAAACAATAATTAACTTTTGGTTAAATTACCCGTTCAAAAATTTTTCAGCATACGTTTAAAAAGGGAAACTGTGCTTTTGTGCTCCGCAAACCGAATAACGACAAGAAAACAACACAGACACTTTTTCGTTTTTGTGGGGGGAGTGTGTAAGTGTACGCATATGGAGGCCTATTGTGTGCTAGTCCTTAAGGGCCGCACACCCACTACCTTCCCAAACACTCAGGAAAGGTACAAACGCCCAGGGGAAAGAAGCTTCGCCGTGCCAGGGTCGAATCACAGGTCCACGGTATAGCAGTTTGACTCTGAGCCAAGTGTGTCACTCGTGTTTTGAATAATTGGGCGTTAGTCAAATCTGTCCTATTTTTTCATTTCTCGTCGCTATAGCTCAGCAAGTAAACAAAAAAAACTGATGACATTTTCACCGCATGTGTCTGATTATTCTGGGTGGCGAGCATTTTACGCAGTGTGCATACGCAAATTTCAGCTTGTGTTAACTCTGAAAGCATAAATTTATAACGACATTTTTTTTTGTATTATAAAAATTGGTTAGGTTTAATTAGAGAACACTATTGTATAGGTGTCCCTATATACACGGATAAAATTCCGTGATCTTATATGTTAATAACATATAAAAAGATTGACATTCTCTAAAGGCCATTGTTTTTAGCATGAAGGGGGAAGCTTTGTTTAATACATTTTTTTACACTGAAACGTCTACCTTTTTAGCAGATATTGATTGATAGGCTATTAAATTATTACTACAAAGATATCCAACACTTACATGTCTGTATTAGTTTTAACTGTAAGTAATATATGTAGAGGATGAATGCATCTTATTCTATTTTTTGTTTTATTTCTTATTTGCTGAGTATTTTCTATATATAAAGTTGATAACATTTAACAAAGTTTTAGAATTTTTTGCAAACTCTCTGTATATCAAAATTGGATTTAGTTGATACCACAACAAAGCGCGTACCTTTATTTATGCTTTTACAAAATATTGTAAATAGAGAGCGGATTTTATGAAATTTGCATATCCGTATTTTTTTGCATATAAGTCTTGATATTTAATATGTGAACGAATCATGCTAATTAAAAACGAATACAGCTATAAAAAAATTGTATATTTGCATATATTTGCCTTCTGCTGCATATTTCACGTAACGGGTGCATATTTTGCATTTTTATCAATTTTTGTGCCAATTTGAAAAAAAAAAAATGATTGTTATTCTATCGGCATGTATCTAGAAAGACGAAATTTCATTAATCATATTGCAAATATTGTCCTGATCTTCAAATAACTAGTAAAGGTTTGGGTTTTGTGGTAGTTTGGAGAATCCATTGGGTGTTAAGCCATTCTTCCAGGTAAATTTGGGCCCTAATTACTTTTGGAAATACCGTTCATTCCCAATATTTTTGTTCGTTACTTAAGTGTATTAATGGTATGTGTTATGGTGGTTGAAGGGACGTTACCCTATTATTTTTCATCGTGAGTTTGCACTGAAAGCATTTAAAGCGATACATGTGTGTTAATATGTCGAAGATAACTCAAATTAATTTATGGATTAAACCTTTTCCTGAACTTATTCTTCAAGAAGGAACTGTTTTGTCGCGTCTGCTCTAAACCGGTAGGGATTTTTATATCTGTGGACGTAGTACACAGTTTTTCTATACCAAATATACTTTAGAATCATCGGAAAACTTTTGGTTAGAATATTTCGAAAAATATTTAAAAATAAATTGTTACCAAAATAGTAATTAAATAGTCGATTACTACTAATTTTGTAATTTGTAAATAAATTTGGTTCGGTTATTACGCTTTTTTTTAGTTTTTGGAGCATATGCAGCTGCATATCTTAAGAAAGTTACTGCATATTTGCATAAATTTGGTGCATATCATATGATCATATTTCCCAAAATTTTGCTGCATATTTTCCGCTCTCTAATTGTAAAACAGGCATTAAAATTAATCTTGTTGGTATTTTTTTAGTTCACCTTTCCATTGTCATAAAATTTGAAGAAAATTGGAATAACGTGGCAACGTTTCATCTGAATTTCAAAAGTAAATTGTGGTTGTAAAGCCTAAGAAGAGGACAGTCAAAATATACAAAAATTGAGTGATTCATTAAAAAAAAACAAGTTTTGTGTTGTACCTTAAAAACAGAAGAGTCTGCATAGTTGAAAATAATTTTAAAGTATAGTCCTCAAAGAATCGTTCAACTTTGGTAACTTTTTCCTGTATTTATAATAATTAATGAGATAACGAAAACCGCGCGTTGAGTGACTCACCCTCTATAAGTAATCTAAATGAAAAGATACATCTAGTTGGCATATTGTCATAGATAAAATACAATTACACTAATACTAGCAACTTTTAACTACAGAAACCTTGGACTACAACTTTTTTTTTTGCTGTGTGCCGAAAACGGTTCGATTTTTGAAATCTGGAAAACATTTATTATGAAAACTGGACAAGCTCACAGTCCAGATTTAATGTCCTTGGATTTTTTGTTAAGTTTCGACCCTTGCGTGATTTAGAAGATTTAAAAATTGAATTAGGAATATGCGTGATTTTTTATTAACTGCAATAAGTTGAGAACTGATAAGAAGTTTTGTTCATAGTGTGAAGGACGACATTGCGAATATAAAAGAGATCTTACGAATTCGTTGTAAAATAAAGTGGTAGTCGTTTATTTTTTTATCTGAGTGTTTTGTAAGTATCATTGTAATCGTAATTTAAGGTACTGCCAAAATCCGCTAAAAATATATACGCATCATATTTACAGTGTACTAAATTAAGCTTCATCTTTCAAGCTAAAAGCAATGTTGTTTACAGAATTTCAAAATTTCTATCCGTTCTCAAGGTCAGAGAGTTTTATTTGGAACACCTGTAAATATATATTTCACCTTCAGCCTTTTCTCTAATGCGATTGACAACAGAAAATGACACTCCTAGACAAGAATATGTGGAATTTCCATATAAAAAACGATTTCAAATTACAGATTGGATTATAATAAACAAACGTCCAGATACATCCTTTTTGTTGACTACCTTTATATAACTAATTACACTGATCAGTACCTGCAATTTTCGACCTTGATACATCCCCAGTTTGACATGTTATTCATTTTTGCCATTATATCGTTGTTGTTTAAGTGATAATTTGACCATTTTGTGAATGTTGAAAAAACGCTGCGTCAGTCTAACGCTAGCTTGTACTAGATAATTTTATAAAAACTCTAAAACTGTTTCGAGGCGTTGTGAAAGAGAAAGAATTCAAGACTAATTAGAGTGGAATATTGGTGTCTGTGGTTTTGAACCGCAAGTCTCCGGACTTTTTTTGCAATTGTAAATATGACTATCAATACCAATATAGTCTCGAGGTGTAGACAAGAAGATAAAGAGATAGACAGAAACACAAAGAGAAAGACAAAGAGGCACTACTGTATTGTAAGTAAATCAACAACATTAATTCCAAAACTGCATTATGCACCGATGACGTCAAACAAACATTGAAGCACTCGATTATCAGGCTGTTTACATACTTGATTTAACAATATCAGAAATCAAATACATACACACGTAAATTAAATAATTTTAGCTACGTTAATTCATCTCACGAATATACATCCCACCTACGATTTATTAATTTAATTTATAATTTAATTATTAATTTATGTTTAGAGCCTCGCATTTCTACCGAATGAAAAATACTACTATACCCTAAAATAAAAAGCTACGCCACTGATGCTATTTATTGATAATTGAATCGATATAATTACGTAAAATCATTAGAACGTGGTAGTCATGAATGAACGTGCTTATGACGTCACAGGAAAAACATTGCCTAGAAATTGATTTCTTTGTTGGTCAGTAGACGAGTGAACCGGGAAGGAAATTTATTACCTGTCACACAATTTAGATGTAATTACTTTTCTGACTTAAGTCACTCCATTTTTTTCGGTGGTGACAAATTTGATTCTTGCACGGAGCCTTTGGGGATTTTACAGCAAGCCAACTTTCATGGTCGTTGGTGGCTGCGGCAGCTTTTTATGAGCACGTTCGTGGTAACGTCGCGCACCATCGCGTAGACAGCGTGTCGGCACCGCGACGCTTCTCTTTGCACTGTTTTAATCTGCCGCACCAAGGCTGGGAGCGGCAGGCGCGCCTTGCCATAGCGTGTCGACGTCGCTGACACCCCCATGGCTTATCAGGACCGATGCTTTGTGGCATGGTTCCTACAATGGTATGTGGTTCTCCTTCCTTCGGTGTGGTGACATGCCTGTAATTAATGAGATCGGAGCTTGTTAGCCAGCGAGAAATTACATTTGGAAGATTGTTTAACAGTTACAGACAACAGCTTGTAAAGTTGTAAACAGCGAAGTTACTTCACTTTGGGACGTCAGTTGTGCTGCACACTGTACTATGAGCTAAATACTTGAACTGACGTCATAAATGTTTTGGTGGGGATTAACTTATTAATGTAATTATGTACACACAAAACAAAGCATTAATTGTGTGTTTTTTTAATGTTAGGAAACTTAGATGATGCCATTTTTGATGAGAATTTACGAACCACCATATAAACACTGAAAAATATAGAAAGTATTCTTTTACTGCGCTTGCGTATTAAGGTTGTAATCTGGGGCTTGACGGATTTTTACTGGCGTACAACAGTGTCCTGAATACAACCCTGAGATTTATGTAAATTTCAAAGATGCACGTCGCAGCTGAAACAAAGTGATGAGGGTCTTTGAAAAGGAGGTTGCTCTCTAATGGGTCATACAATTTTATTAGTATACAAAAATAGTGTGCTTGCTTTTTGCAGTGCTTCGTAATAGGTTAGTATCTACATGAAGTAAGGTAATGTAAAAGTAAGCTAAGCGGTTACTTTGTACGTATTTTGTGATTTTTTACACATTCTATAATAACTGAAATAATATAGAATACGGCTGTAAAGCTAACCCCCCTACAATTTTGGAACCGCTGGTGTACAGCTTTGAAATTTAAAACATATGGAGGAGTAATGAAATGATGCCGACTGACGTCATAATAAAGTCCCGTGAGCTTGCAATGTCAAAACTCTGACATAATATGTGAATATGTTTAATATATTATTATTATTAAGATAACATAGATATTTTTTCAGTAATCAATAAATATGTTTTCTTTTCTTGGGCATCGATGATTTTTTTTTAAACTTTGGAATCATGTGTATAATAAGTAAACTTTCAAAAGAGCACTCGACTCTTAATAATGACATTTATAATTTTCTGCTTACGTATATGTTGTAATTTTGACATTTTAAGGCCACAGTACGTTGCTTTGATGTCAATCAGCATCAATTGATTACTCTTCCACAAGTTTTAAATTTCAAAGCTGTACTTCCAGTTTTCAATGTTATCGGTACACACAATCTTACACTCGATGAAAAAATTGAACTAAAGCTATTTAGATAGAACTTAGACAGAAATACAGTCCAACAAATCCAGATTCTTCGAAAAATTATAAAATTTAATTTTGCGAAATTGTATTTATTTTAATATAACCCCACAAGTTAAATAAAAATATATATAATACTAGTCACAATGTAAGAAAATAAAAGGCAATCAGGGCAGATTCATGTACAGGTGTATATAATTTTATAACGGAGCTTCATGACTTTTTATATGATTCTACCTATGGAAAATGATATTGTTCGCTTTGTCGATCTCTCAGGCCCAAATTGCCAAACTCTCCGGCCCAAAAAACCATTCGTTGCTACGGAAAAACCCCAAGGAATCGAATGGTGCAAACCCCAAATCTAGATATCTATAACCGTTTTGAAATGGTGAAACTTGAAAAATATTTTTTTAGATAGATTGAAAAGCGATTTGTTAAAATCGAATTAATTTTTAATAGCTGATGGTAAAAATGAATTCTGCACTAGACAATTACTTTAGAAACTCCATTTTAGGTAAATCGGAAGGGTTTCTTTTTTTCACCTTATTTTCCACCATAAAAATTTGGAATTTTGACCATTCAAACTATCTCGATTAATTAGGTACTCAGCTTTCTGAAAATTGGTCTCTTTACTAATTCGAACCTCTTGAATTCAAATCCGGGTTTAGAATTCACTTACAGAGCTTCCTGATTTTATTTTTTACCGAAAAACCCCAAGAAACCTAATGGGACAGACCGCAAATCGATATCTACTATCCTTTTGAAATCGTGATCTTGTAAACTTGAAAAATATTTTTTGAGATGTAGATTGAAAAGCGATTTGTTGAATCGAATTATTTTTAAACAACTTATTATAGAAACGAATTTTGCACAGCAAAATTATTTTAGGAACTCAATTTCAGGTAGATAGGAGAATTCAAAATTGACCAAAAATTTTTTCATTTTTATAAGATTCTACCTTTGGAAAAATGACATCGCACGTTTTGTCGTTCCCCCAGGCCCGAGTGGCCGAACTATCCGGTCCAAAAAAAACCATTTGTTGCTACTGAAAAACCCCAAGGAATCGAATGGTAAACCCCAAATCGAAATCTACAATCGTTTTGAAATGGTGAACCTGTAAACCTGAAAAATATTTTTTAGATGCAGATTGAAAAACAATTTGTTGAAATAGAATGAATTTTTAACAGCTGATGGTAGAAATTAATTCTGCACTGTAAAATTAGTTTAGAAACTCAATTTCAGGTAAATCGAAATGGTTCAATTTTTTCGCTTTATTTTCCACCATACATCAGTTGCAAAAATTTTGGATTTTGATCATTTCAAACTATGTCGGTTAATTAGGTTTTCAGTTTTCTGAAAATTGGTTTCCTTTCTAATTCGAACTTCTTGAATTCAAATCCGGGTTCAAAATTGACGCACGCACCGTTTTGAAGTTTTTTGAGATTTTTATGTTACCTTGGCAAAAATGACATCGTTCGATTTATTGCTGTCTCAGGCCTAAGGGGTTGACTTATCCGACTTAAAAAATGATTCACTGCTACTGAAAGGCCCCAAGGAGTCGAATAGTATAAACTCCAATTCGAAATCTATTAGCGTTTTCAAAACTTAAACAATATTTTTTGAGATACAGATTGAAAGGCGATTTGTTGAAATCAAATTCATTTTTAACAACTGATGGTAGAAATGAATTCTGCACTGTAAAATTATTTTAGAAATTCAATTTTAGGTAGATCTGGAGGGTTTAAATTTTTCACCTTATTTTTCCATACATCAACCGCAAAAATTTTGGATTTTGATCACTTCAAACTATGTCGGTTAATTAGAGTCCCAGCTTTCTAAAAATCAGTGTTCTTACTAATTCGAACCTTCTGAACACAAATCCAAGTTCAAAATTGACGTATGGAGCTATCTGAAGTTTTTAGATTTTTATAAGATTCTACCCATGGAAAAATGACTTCGTTCGCTTTGTCGATCTCTCAGACCCGAATGGCTGAATTATCTGGGCCAAAAACCATCCATTGTTACTGAAAAACCCCAAGGAATCGGACGGTACGAACCCCACACCGAAACGTACTAGCGTGTTGAAATGGTGAACTTGTATCCAAAAAATATTTTTTGAGATGTAGATTGAAAAGCGATTTGTTGAAATAGGATTAATTTTTAACAACTGACGGTAGGAATGAATTCTGTACAGTGAATTTACTTTATTTTTTCACCTTATTTTCCAATCAATCCAACCATTTTCCAGTCAATCTCAAAAATTTAGGATTTTGAGCATTTCAAACTACTCGGTTATTTAAGCTCTCAGCTTTCTGAAAATCGGTCTGCTTAGTAACTCGAACCTCCTGAATACAAATCCGTGTCCAGAATTGACCTACCTTCCTGAAGTTTTCTGATTTTGACGAATGGTACAATTCTCAAATCGAGATCTACCATCGTTTTGCAATGATCAGCTTGTAAACTTGAAATATATTGTTTGAGATGCAGATTGAAAGACGATTTCTTGACAGCGAATTAATGATGGTAGAAATGAATTCTGCGCTGCAAAATTAGATGAGAACAAAATACCATTTACCATTCAAAATTGTGAGGTGATGTCATTAAGTTGTTGGTGGGGATAATTAGACAAATTTGGTTATTTTTTTACCATCCATATGATATTTCTAACATACTTATAAAATTTGACAAAAATCGAGACAGACGAAATGTTGAGGAAACATGAAAATAGCCATTCACTGGAGAGAACCTGTTAAAATACTTTCTTATCTTACGCTTGGAAAATAACAAATCTGTCTAGGTACAGTAGATATTGGTAAAAAACATACAAGGTAATCCATTTGGGAAAATAACAATATATTTTAAGGCTTACATCTGAAATTTTTAGGTTAAATATTTAAACATTTAACTGAGGCACAATCAAAATAGCATTTCCAGGCGCATTTTCAGTATATGTTTATTTTATATTTTTTCGGATGACGTCACCAGTTTTCCCCAGAGAATGAAAAAAAAATTAGTTAATATTTTGTAATGTTTATTGTCATCTTGAACATTAATGGTGGAAATAACTTAGTTTATAGGAATTAGTATAAGTTAAAAACAAACATGCTCGTTAAACCACTATGTGCACTTTTACGATAAAATATTTATTTGGATATTGTTAACGGCTGACAGTCGGAAATGGGAAACCGATATTTTCGCCAACAAATAATAAAACCCCACCTTAAAAATGTTTCTGTTGCAACACTTCCCCCAGTTATCAGTCACGAGAGATAAAAAACCGCATACAACATAGAAAACAAAACAAATTAATTCAGGAAGGAGTTCAGCAGGAAGGAAGGGACAAATGAGAAGAACAAACAGTTTGATGTATTTGCTGTAACAAAAATAGAGCCTTTAAATGGCAAAGTTATTAGTGCATTAGGAGGGATAAAGCTTCTGTATCAGAAATTATTTTCGGTCCATTGATTAGACAGGATGTACCACACCAGGATAATTCTGGGCAGGATATATTTTATCGATTATCAAGGAAATGGCTTATCTAATTTTCCTGCAATTCTGGGAAAACAGAAAATATGATTATAGTGCTATATGATGCGTATCACAGTCAAAAGGTTTGCCGATATCAGGTTGACGACGTCAGCTCGAAAAATGATAAAATACGTCCCAATTAGAATTCTCTCTGTTTTATCGTTTAATCTCCATAAATGTTTGAAATTACACTAGCGTTATGTTTAGTGTTGCATTGTACATAATACATTTTTTTTGTTATTAAAAAAAAGAACACGAATACCGAGAAACAATAAAAAATGTTATGTTTATCGATGACTAGATCAACATATTGTGAAGGTTTGCGTTATTAAGATGACAAATTAGATGTCAAAAAATACAGAAAATCAATACATTTGTAGGTTTAAAAGGATTCTAATAGACAACGGAAAGGAAAATGCACGC